TCGGCTGCTTGAAGGTGTACTGTTGTACCTGCCACCTTTGTTGGTTTCAGGGTTCATATACTTTCTATTTGAAGTAGACATACCTGCTAACCATGGACTGTTTCTGGCTAGATTAACTCTTGTGTAATCAATGGTGCTAGTGAAGCTTCTATCAGATCCACTCTGATTTAGCCACCCACACTAGTAGCAAGTATCACCTCCACTGGAGGCAGGGTTAACTGCAGTTTGATCCCGGGACGGATACCCTGATGCCGTCAATCCTTTTTCTGCACCTTGTCCTCACCCACTTACTGAGGGGTGGTGAGCCCATAAGTGGGATCATTTCCAAGTCCACCCATAGTTTGGGGATTTCAGGGGGTGTCGGCCGTTGGGCGGTTCAATAGCCAATTGAGTCATCTTTCCACGATTCCATTTGAGTCTCTCTCCCCTCTCCCAAGGGGAGACCCACGTGACCAATTTTGGCACTGAGCAAGTACAAGTACAAGTGTGTATGTGTGTGGTGTGGTGTGTGTGTGTGTGTGTGTGTGTGTGTGTGTGTGTGTGAATGAATGATGGTGTGTGTGTTCTTGTGTGTGTGTGTGTGTGTGTGTGTATGTGTGTGTGTGGGGGGGGTATATGCATAGGTATGTTGACTTGCGCAGCGCGGACGGGAATCTAACAGCTGAGTTTTGGTTCTTGGTGACGGCCAGACTTGTGTTTGTGATGATCTTTGAGGTAAGATGCCACCCCTGCTGCTGCTGCTGCTGGTGCTGTAAACATAGGAAAATCAGTATCACATACCGTATTTTCCCGAATATAAAACAAAACCAACAAAGGGGTGCGACTTACAATCGAGCATGACTTACTACTGAAGTGTCAGTCGAAGGGGTACTCTCAGACCCACTGCCTGTGAAGTCGGGAGTCCCCCAGGGATCTATACTGGGGCCTCTACTATTCTTGTTGTATATAAACGATCTACCTGACTGTATAGATGGTCTGTCCCTATTTGCTGATGACACAGCGCTCATTCAGTTTGACGCTGACATTGCAAACCTGTGTACGAAGCTTCAGAATGGAATCAATGTTGTTCACAAATGGATGTTGTCATGGCGTCTGAAACCCAGGGCACGAAATAACGGTCGGACATCGGACAATTTCCGACCATTTACGGTCAGTTTCCGCATGTTTTGTACACATCCGGACAAAGTGTCCGTGCACTTTTTTGCAAAGTACAAAAAAGAAAAGGCACGTCAATCCTTTGTCTCATAGTCATTAATGATGTCGTCTAGCAAGAGAAAGCCAAGCACCGCTGGTGCGGGTGCTCCTCTGGGAAAGAAGCCCAGAGGAGTCAAGACGACCACTTGTGACAAGTGGGTCGCCGAGTATGATAGGGAGCTTTCAACTTCTGTTTGGCTGAGCTATGAGTATGAGCGCAGTCCCTCAGATCGTAGCGTTGTCGAAAATTTGAAGTATAAGATGTGTTCCCGTTTTGTTGATAAAATTCGCAGCAGCAAGAATTTTTCTGGCTCCTTCGTCGTTGGCTCAAGGAACCTGAAAACATCAGCCTTTGAAGATCATGCTGCTTCTGAAATGCATCGCCGTGCCATGGCATTGTTTGGCAAGGAGCAGTCAAGCGGAAACCCAAAAGAGTATGCGCCAATCGCTCGAGCCTTGTGCAAAGTTGACGACGCAGCAGCAGCCAAGGTCGGACTCTTTTCACGTCGTGATAACATTTCGATGGTATTAATTCTACACTGAATACTGTGTGATTTGATGTGAAAATTTGCATGTCCGGACATGTCCGGCCATTTTTGCAACTGGCAGGACATTGTGTCAGAGCACATTTTAGAGCACATTTTAATCCTTAGCGCATGCCCTGGAAACCCAATATCTTGAAGACAGAAATAGTCTTTCTCCCTTAACTAGACCACCCTCCCACATTTACCCTTCCCGGACTTGGCTATTAATATTGTAGATACGCACAGGCATTTGGGTGTTGTAGTTGACTCGCAATTGTCCTGGAATTCTCACGTAGATTTTGTATGCAACAAAGTTAGCAAATCTGTAGGTTGCCTGATGTCTCACTGCTCCCACTTGTCCCCCGAATGTACAGTAAAACCTGTAACTAACGACCACCGTGACTAGCGACCGGCCTGGTACTACCGACCACTTTGTCAGGCACGGACGGTCTCACATTCAAAATGCACTGTGACTAGCGACTACCTGCTGAACGCGACCAGCGACCGCCTTTTCTTGTCCCAATGTCGAATTTTGACCCGTAACTAGCGACCGCGATGTAGCAAATCAAACATTGCTTGAAGCTCCTTCTCGAAATTTTGATGATTTTCCATGGTCGTTTCGATACTACAGCTGGACAAATGAGCGCAGTCTCATTTTTACTGTGGAATCAGTGTGGATTGCACTACACCTGTCATAATTTCAAGTGCTGTCCAGAACAAACATGATAGGAAACGTCTTGGAGAGCGCATCCAAAGCGCTCTTTGATCGATGTTACTACTCGAAGGAGAAACTAAGACTGAGCGGCTCTCTGTCGAAGTGCAATCACACAGCTCAGTCACCAGACTCACCACTACACCAGGTCACGCTGACAGTCTGTGCTGGCTAGCTAGCATGTACTCAGCTGTACGGAACACAGGCCAGGATACGATGGCGGATAATAGTCTACAGTGAAAGGTGCGAAAACTCGCAACATCGCCGCATCACGTACTGGTACACACCATTACAGTTTACGCTACACTGCATCCAAGTCGGAGCGACTGAGTTTCCACTGACAGTCTGTAGATCTACACACTGATACCAGTTGCCAGTGTAGTCGCACACAGATGAGGATGGAGTCGATAGTGACTAGTGCACTGTCTGGCCAGGCCAGCGCTGCTCTGGAAAGCCAGTGAGTCGACATACGTGTCAAAAGGTCGTATCGCTTCCGGTGTATAAAAAACTTGATTTTCTCTCTCTCCAAGTGTTGTATGATCTGAAAGAAGAATGTCAGTGCGCAAGTGGTGGGGGATTGTATTATCTGCATTTTGACATACATATCATATAATGGGATCCATATATGGTCGCGCGGTGCAAACCTCTAACTAAAGACCACCTGCCACTAACGACCACTTTTCCGGGCACCAAGGGGTGGTCGTTAGTTACAGGTTTTACTGTATTTGTCTCTTTTATAAATGCTACCTTCTTCCTATCTTTCTGTACGGCGCTACTGCTTGGCATTCCCTGCTTAGTAAATCTGCTGTACAGGCACTAGAAATACATCGCAAACGTGTGTTGAAAATTATTTTTCGTAAACCCTCTCTATTCCCCCGGCTCTACTGATCTATATAGTTTGGCCTCCACCAGCCCCATCTCTATCCTGTCGCAGAGACAGTCATGCGTTCTGGTCCATCGTATTAAACTAAACATTGTCCCTGAACATCTCAGCAAGTATAATTGGTTTACTTTCGCACGGGACACTCCAATGGCATAGTACTTCCCAGAGCTTTGTCAACTATGTTTACCAAATCTCCTATCTTTTCTGCATATTCGTATTGGCTCAAGCTGCCCATGGAAATGAAGATAATATCCAATATTAGACAGTTCATAGACCATGTTAAGTGTCATGCCACGTTGTAGGCTCCCTCGCCTTTTTGCTAGCTTATCTCGCCGCTCTCCACCATGGTCAACATAGTGATATATTTCACCCCGCTGATGCATTCTTTTCTTCCGATTATCATATTCTTTCCTTCTTTCTTTCTTTTTCTTCTCTTGCCATGGCTGGCTAACGCCCCCTCCTTTGCATTGACTTCTGCCATTGGACGGTGAAATAAAATAAAATAAGTAACTATATCAAAACGATAATTATGACTTGGACCTGGAAATGGGGTTGCGGCTTACAATTGAGTGCGACTTACTAATGGGGAAATACCCACGGTATGGCTAAATTCATGAGAGTTGCATGACTTACAAATGGGGAAATACCCACGGTATGGCTAACTTCATGAGAGTTGCATGACTTACTAATGGGGAAATACCCACGGTATGGCTAACTTCATGAGAGTTGCATGACTTACTAATGGGGAAATACCCACGGTATGGCTAACTTCATGAGAGTTGCATGACTTACTAATGGGGAAATACCCACGGTATGGCTAACTTCATGAGAGTTGCATGACCTACTAGTCGCTATGAATGGAAGTTTCCGGCGGAGAAAACTGTAGTTATCACCAACCCTCACCACGCCCAGCTCACGCCGCTACCACGTGCGACCTGAGGTGGGCGCCCTGCCGTGCAGTATTAAACTGTCCTCAAGCCAGTCACCTGGTCACGTATTTGGCAGCCCAGTGTGCTGTGGACTGGATCGCAGCGTTTAGAAGCGCCAAATGCAGCAGGGTCAGTCTCAGGCTGGTCGCATATGCGGCAGGTGACTTCGCAAGGCTGCATTCGCATTTGGATCGCCGAAGCGATACAGGTGCTTCGACTGCACCCCGTGGCGCATCAGGGAAGCTTCTGGGGCCCAGGCAGCCAGTAAGTGCACCACCGTATCAGGTATGCGCAGGTGGAGCAGCAGGGCAAGACGTGTGCCGGAAACTCACCGTCATCCGGTCAACCTCATGATTGTGTGGCTTTACACAGCCGGCACTCATTACTTGTTATTCCTTGCAGAAGGCCAGAATTGTTTTTTTTTCCGCTTTTTCCCTTCTTCCAGGCACGGCTTTATGTTAGAGCAGTAAATAGCAGTTAAGGACTCAGTGTGTCAAGTTTGGCATAATAAAAGAAGCACGCTATCCCCAAACTCCAAAGAGTTGTATGGTTATTCTGTGAGTGTATTATGCAGGAGGCGGCAGTCACGTGAGCTGAGGGTGGAGTGATAAATCCAGTGTCTAACCCATCATCTCCAGTACGATATGTTGATATGCATACATTCTTGTTCTTCTGTTGTTGTATGTTTGTTTTTGTAGCATGTGGTGTTCTTGGCTATGACAATCCTGGATTGGGCAGTACCAGATGTACCCCAAGCACTGCAGGATGAACTCGCTCGAGAAATCTTCCAGGCTAAGAAGGTTGTGGAAACTGCAAACTGGCAAAGTGGGACCAGCACCGTCGCAAGTCAGCCTGTTGGTCAAAGACGGAGAAGGAAATCGACAAAGAGAAAAACAATTCGTAGGAAGCCCACTGTTTCCCGCCGGACACAATAAAGTGGCATTGAGGAGATCCCCAGAATCATGTTATGCCTAGTGATGAGACACATACCACTACTGCACTACTGCACTACTACAAGTAGGCAGAATGTTGATATGGTAAGAATTGACAATATCTTTTTTTAATACCTTGGGAGTATGTGAAAGTAAAGCTTCCCTGAATCATTCTGCGATTCTGTGGCCTTTATTTGTACTGCAATTGATCGATCTGACCACATCATTGAAGTTGGTGTTGATTTCCTCTTTTGGCTTATCTGAGCACACTTCAATAAATTGGCAACATGAGCAGTGAGATGTGAATGACAACTATCTGAGAGCAGTGAAAAGGAAGGCAACATAATTATTACTAAGCACAGGCAGCGGCTGGAACAAGATGCTCAACAAGTATGTGTTGCGAACCTATCCTATCCCTACTTGAAGAACTATCCAAGTTCAGACATTTCAGCCAAGCACACCTCACATCGCAGAAATTCTAGTGTGGTAAGAATTTTGTTTTCATGGTAGTCATTAGAGCAGATAACCGCACACATGCACAAAGCTACCGCACACATGCACACAGCTATCAAAATTATCACATGCCTATAGTACAGTTCCTGAAGCGCAATATAGATAGATCTACAGTGTAATATAGATAGATCTACAGTGTAATATAGATAGATCTACAGTGTAATACTACCCTTTTGACCGTTATATTAGATAATCAAGATTCATAGGTTTTACTGGAGGTATGAGCTACCATTGACATTTTAGTATCATAAAAGGCAATAAAAAGAAACAAGTGAAGGGAAAGTCTTCATGCTGTCTCAAATGAACACCGTTACAGTTTACAGGGTAAATCAGAGAAAGTTTCTTGATTTTCAAGGATCGTCTTGTGAAGCAATTATAATGAGCAGTCATAACCATTGGGGATTAGACCTGGGTTGTTTGCAAAATCATTAATGATCTTTTAATGTCCAACAAATGCGGCAGCAACCTGTTCCACCACGGAGCCGCGTGACAAAAAAAAACCTATTGTACTGGAGATAAGCAAATAGTACAATGAGTGGTAATCGAGTGGACATTCTTTAGGGAAACTGACTTATCAGACTTGCTGCACTCTGCTTGGTGACGCCGTCTAAAAGGATCTAAACTGTAGTAGTCTCCAGGTCCATTGTCAGAGATGCTGTCATGCTCTGAGTAGCTGCTACAGCCATAGAAATGTTGCTGATGCTGTTGCTGTGAATGAGCGGCGATGTATGGTGATGATGTACAGTGGAGTTGTTTGCTCCATGCTGCTGCTGCTGCTGGACAAGGTTTTGGTGAAACAGCGACTGTCCCTGATGATGCTGGTTGGACTGATCTTCAACTTCGTATGTGTACTTGGTGCGTCGGCCCAGTGCTCTGCCCAGTGAGTCCTTGCAGACGAGATACGCACAAATACACACCAAGTTGCAAGTCAGTAAAATATACCATCGTGTACATGTATTCCTGCCGTCAAAGGAAACCTGCACCGGCCACTTCCGTGCAAGGACAAGGCGGGATCAGGGCAGAAGTAGTGAATCACACAATTAGTCAATTACAGAACTATTTAGACTGGCATGTGTTCCACAGATAATACATACAGTGCTAGGATCCTTGTAGGCATGAAGTACTTTGGGTTCAAGTGCATTATGCAATATTATGCCATTACGGTGCTAACATTCACATTTTAGCACTACATTCACTGCAGCACAGTTCAATGTTGCCAGTGTCAGGGCCAACCAGCTGTCTTGGTGGTGTGCAGCACAGTTCAATGTTGCCAGTGTCAGGGCCAACCAGCTGTCTTGCTGGTGTGCTATTCATGAGGCTGAGCACAAGTAACTTAAACTATCATTATAGATGTTCTGGAATACGATTTTGGTACCAAAATCCGTAGAGGCACTACAGATTTTTTTACGTCGTTTTCGAGTAGTGACATGTTCCGGAATACGAAATAATGCATTTGCCGTCATCTAGGTTACGATCGCAAACACGTCATATTCCCGTGCTATGCCTTTCTATTTTAAAAATGTGTACCAAAATCATAACGTCCCGCAGAAAATCAATGTTTCTCGTACCAATTTTGTATGCGAAATCTTTCTGCACTTGACGACGCAAAATTTCCACACAAAACATACTTCGTATGAAAGCCAGTCCACGGTTTCTCCGCGCTGGAAAATCGTATGAAGCACGCCTTGAAAAAATCCTTAGCGCTTCTACGGAATTTGCCATTATTTAGGTACGGAAAATCGTACCCCGGAACCTCTCTATGGTGTGTCTCCTATACCCTTGAATGAGTCAATTTGAGAGACGAAAAGGGCCGATGGCAATATCAATAGCTAAAGCCATACAAGTAGCGATAGTAAGAAGAAACATCGTGACAATGGACAACAGCAATGACATGGAGGCATAAACCAACCTTGAAGCTTCTTCTGCGCCGTACATCTTTTTCTTCCACTGCCGAAGAGGACCGGACAAAAGAGCGGCCAAGGGAGTTTGCTGACTTTGATCCTCGACGACCACCCTTCTCGTTTGTCAAATGGTTCACTTCCAGTGACGATCTATAAAAAAACATGGAGAGGGAATGTCTTTCAGATTGATTTTAGTTTAACAGGTGTTACATTGTGAATACTAGTACAACGACTTCACTGTGCTCGGAACTCTGAAGGAGTTCAGCAGCAGCACTGCCAGAAGCAGCGTCGTCTATCCCTGACGCCTCCATACTGCCCTTTGCAGTTTCGAAAGTGAAAAACAACCACTTCGAAGAAGAAGATACGAAAAGAACAAAATGGCAACACGGATGTAACTGCTATATGCGCTACAAAGCAACAATACGAAAACACTGTACTTTGAACCCTGACATCAACATTTTGCACAGTCGCGATGTTTGCCACGTGCTGCGCCAGCACTCGGTGGCTTTTGTCACAGGTCACGCTGGCCCGCGCGGCAGGATATGTCGCACTTTGCTCGAAAACATTGATGGTGATTGCCGCGTGTTACAGTAGAACATCAACTTGAACGTGGATTTTCAGTGGCCCGATATGTCTCCTTTTGGAGAATTCTTTTTGGCCATCAGATGCAGTGATCCCTACTGAGTCGATTGGCAACGAAAACGCCACATGCATGAGATTGGAGGTTAGCGCGGTTTGGTCATACTATTACAGTCTTTCATACTTTGTGTTTGATACATTGGGAACATACTTTGTGTTTGATACATTGGGAACATATATCCTCCTTCTCAGTAACATGCCCTGGTGGCCACAAATAGGTGCGCGGTGTGGGGTAACCTGACCAACCAGGCCGGTATACACAAATAGGTGCGGTGTGGGGTAACCTGACCAACCAGGCCGGTACACACACAAATAGGTGCGCGGTGTGCGGTAACCTGACCAACCAGGCCGGTACACACACAAATAGGTGCACGGTGTGGGGGTAACCTGACCAACCAGGCCGGTACACACACAAATAGGTGCGGTGATAACCTGACCAACCAGGCCGGTACACACACAAATAGGTGCGGTGTGGGGCAACCTGACCAACCAGGCCGGTACACACACAAATAGGTGCGGTGATAACCTGACCAACCAGGCCGGTTCACACACAAATAGGTGCGCGGTGTGGGGTAACCTGACCAACCAGGCCGGTGGTTCCGGCAGGCCTGACTAACACTGTAGAAACAAGTACAAACCACCTTGTGCATTGTGCCAAATTTAATATGGAATGCATGTGAGTATGCTGGGATTAGGAATGAACTGTTCAACATCTTACACAGCCATGCCCAGGTGGCTGGTGTGTGCAGGCAGAGTTGCTGGTACATACTACCACCCGGTACATCATTGCGCAATGGGCTTGTAGGGAATGTACGACTACGCATGCTGCTGGTCAGGTATCACATCTAGTCTTCCCATCTACTTCAAGTAGGTTACTGACAAGAGACCATTACTGATACAGATCGTACCCCGTTAATACGAGTCTGGTTAGTACATAAACCCCGTTAGTACATAAGAAATCTCAAGTCCTGGACGAAACGTGGTCACTTCCATACAAATTTGGTCGGTTAATACACAATTCGTTAGTACATAAACCCCGTTAGTACATAACATTTCCTCAGTACCCGCATGCCACCTACCTCAATAGTACATAATTTGTTGGTTTTTCGGCCTTCCAGTGGAGGCACATCGTGTTCCAGTTTCTTCTTGTGGACGCAATTAGCTCAGAAATCAGAGCGCACATCACAGACCGACAAAGCTCTGTTTTTTTCCGAGTGATTGCACAGGAGCGGCTGGCAATGCATCATGTGAACTGTAAAATCTTCGCTGACTGTGACCGGTATAACATAATGTTTATGGTATAAGGCCACACCAAGTTTTTTCATTGTTTCTCGTCACCGCGCGCGTACCTTTCTTGAGGATTGGACCAAAAAAAAAAATCTCGCGTCCCGGTAAACACGCATAAAAAGGCGTTGTAAAAGTATGCGCGGCGTCAAATCTGGAGTGCAGTGCTAGTGCACGAACCGAAGGACGACTTTTGCACCGTGTATGTACGCATACCGGTAGTTCAAGTACCACACCACCACACGACCTGGTCGTCTTCTTTGCTACACACAGTTCCGGTACAAGTCAAGACAGTGCATGACAGTGCACCGTTTTGGACTGACAGTGTTCCGGGCATCGGTAAACTTGCGGCATTGCGGACTACAAGCACTGTGAAGTTGCCGTGATTCCTTGAGTTCTTTATCAGTTCATCTCGTCGTGGGCGACGATGGCATCTGAAATAGTCAGCTTCGCTGTGACTGTGGACTTCCTCACCAGAGGCCGGTGCAGGAGCCTGGTTTTCTGGCTGTATGTTGCAATTGACTGTCACGCATGGTGTATAGTCTGATTTTAGGTCATAAATTGGGCCTTTGTAGTGTAAATAGCAGTTTTTGTTTTTCAAACCCTATTTTGTTTTTTTTCCGCCCGCCCGCGTTCCTTTTGAGATTTTCAGGTGACGAGAAACAATGAAATAACTTGGTGTGGCCTAACAAGGGCAATCAAGAATATCTCGCTCCCTAGTGACGGTAGCAAGAAAAACTAGAAAGTTGAAAAAAGTGAAAATTTCTGGTACACAACCAAGTTATGCAGATTTTCGTTTAGTACATAAACCCCCTGATAACGTTTTTCAAGTCACAGAGATTACGTATTAACGAGGGACGACTGGTACGTACTAAAGTCGTTGAGTGCAGCATTGCAGATAGCTGCATTCAAGGAGTAACTGACTTTCACTGGCCTCAGCAATGTGCCTTGCTTAGGCATCTAGTAAAGCAGTGTCCACACATAACTTATCTGCCACAGCAGTGGTGATGGTGGGCCCATACATACATTGTGAGGGAGTCTCTAGTGCTGGGCAAGTGCATACATCACTTGAGGGCATGCTGCTGGCCTTAGACTGGGCTGGCTTGTGACAGTCACTTGTACCATTCACTTCAGGTGCTTCACAGGATGCCCAGCCACTGTACTTCGCATGGACTGCACCTAGGTATGTCGTTCATTGTCACTTACAGTTGATACACAGTGGCTTAAACTTCACCAACATTCTTACAGCTGAGGCAAACCTAGAATGTCATGATTAGCTGCAGGGAGGTCTAGCATTCCTGGATACAGTGTGCCGGCTGTAGGGAGGTGTTTGATAGCTCAGCAAGTTCTCCCCGGCACACCATGGTGTAAATAGATAGACTCACACTCCCAACTGTGTTCTCCCATCTGGCAACCGTGAATGTGAGTAGTGAGGCAACATAGCTGTGGTTCATACTTAGGTCCACAAATCACCTTGTCATTTCACCACATTACACATATCCCTCAGCCTATGCTCAGTCTACATGGTCATGGGCAGCTCTGGCCAGCCCGGATTCCGGCAGTTATGATCAATTATCTCAGATTGGAGCAAAACACAATGATACAACTGAAAGGACAATGGGATCAGCTGGATTGTGGTTTTGCACAGACCACAGTAGCAGTAACACATCGCACCTAAGCTGTGAATCAGCAATTGGCAGAGTAGGAGCAGGATGATTTATACCAGATTCCGTGATGGAGAGTGTGGTCTGCAGTGATACCCCCCCCCCCCCCCCCCCACACACACACACTCACACACCGGGAGCCTTGCGCAAGGCATTTCACTTGCTGACTATTCCTGCCCGGCTTCGAGCCTACAAAGCCTTTGTCCGGCCGGTTATGGAGTACTGCCCAATCGTCTGGATGGGGGCAGCTCCTTCCCACTTGAATCGGCTGGACTGGGTGCAGGAGCGAGCCATCAAGGCAATACATCCGCAATGCTGGCTTCCTAGCCTCATAATTCGCCGCACCATCGCTGCCCTCTGCCTCCTGTATAAAGCCCTTTGCGATAATTCTCCCGCTCTTCTCTCGAGAATGGCTCCACCCCCGACACACCAACCCAGGACCACACGCCTCACCCGCCAGGCTGTACGACTGTCCACCGCGCATCCCCATCAGTTACAGAATGTTCTTCCTGCCAATTCCCGGAACAATGTGAGCCGAGCCTTTCCCCACTCCGTCATCCCAATTTGGAACCAGCTGCCTACCTCTATCATTCCCCACCCATTTCACCCAAAGAACATCCAAAAGTTCAAGACAGCAGCTTATCACCATCTCCTCAGAACGAACTGGCACTGGGCCACTCATAGCATACGCGAGTAAGAGGGTACAGTGTCCTACCCTGCTTGGACATACATGTAATCTCTCCTCACGGGCAGTCTCCTCTTGAATTTAAAAGTCTAACAGCGTTCACATCAATACTCAACTTATTCTTTTGCTCACTGAGCCATACAATCTTTCCATTTTCTTTCTTCTGTTTTCTTTTTCAAATTAATCCTCCCCACCCAATATCCCTTTGGTGCGTCCATGGAGCTATGAAGCCGAGACCTCTGGTCAGCGGAGCTTAATGGGCCCCACCACCACACTCCATCATTCACCCCAGTGTCTGGAGATATGTGGATTTTGTAGAAAAAAAAAAAAAAAAAAAAAAAAACCTGCCTGATATTCAACAGTTATTTCTCAATGGACACAATAGCAGCTCAACGTCAGCATCGCCTGCGGCTGATCATTGAGTAATTAGGTGCTTTCAGACTGACCTTGCTGGCTCAATAAGGCTGTTGAGTTCCTCTGACAGGTGTCGCCGAATCATTGTACGCGATGGCGGTACACCCAGTGCTGTTGCCATGGCGTCAGAGCTGAATGAGGGTTCTAGCACGACGATAGCACCATGGACACCACTGTTCTGAAGGTTGTTAGCGTATTCCTACGCATGCACACACACACACACACACAGGAACACAGGAATGGGCATAATCTGTACGGCGATGGCAAATGAAATCCAGCAGCTCATGAACAATGTAGAGCCATGTTCCCTACAGAACCCAGTGTTCTGTAGTACCTGGGCGACGACGCAGATGTGACTTGCAACTAGTATTCGGACAGTTGCAGAATTCCCACTGACACACTACATCATCTTCAATACTAGCAACAAGTGTCACTCAAGGAGAGAACCATACAAATAAACCTGGCTAAGTAACCACCTAGTTTGAGAAACCATTTGGTCTGCAATGTGAGGACTATTTTTCTTTAGCACCGACTGCGCTGAATGTGCAATAGTCGTCTCCCTAGCTTTCTGAGACCACATGTGCTCAAAGACGTATCCAGCGACATGTGTGCACTGTGGAATATGGTTTCACCTGCCTAGGGATTCTCCAAGGCCCCCCCCCCCCCCAATCCAAGAGTAGTTTTAAGTAGAGTGTACCGTGAGTGACTAGAGTGACTAGAACCCCAGGCTCTTATCCCCTACGTGCATCTAGTAGTATACCGTGGATGGATGGGTTTGTTCGGCCGATCCTGGAGTATGGGATGCTGGTATGGATGAGCGCAGCACCCTCCACACTAGCCAAGCTCACAGCCATCCAACGTAGGGCACTCCACGTCATTGGTGATGGCTGCTACCTGCCCAGCCTGGACATCCGTCGCTCTGTTGCTGCCCTCTGCTACCTGTTCAAGCTCCACTATCTGACTGGCCCTGCCATGATCACAGCCCTCCTACCCCCGCCAGCTCCAGCCCCAGCCCGGGCCCGCACCCGAGCCAGCGTGTGCACAATTGCGAGCCACCATCCGTTCCAGCTGACCAAGACTGTCCCACCTCAGTCTCGGAACAGTGTCCTTCGGTCCTTCCCCCACTGTATGATTGACGCCTGGAATTGCCTCCCAGCCTCTATCCTCAGTGCTCGCCCCTCCCAGAAGTCGATGCAGACCTTCAAGAAGAAGGTCTATGACCACCTGAGGCAGTCTGACTGGGACTGGGCAACCGACCGCCTCTAGCCTCCTCCGGGATTATGCTCCTGCTTCTCCCACCCCAAGCCTAATTGTCGCCAATCCTGAGTAGCCAATCTCCACTGCTACCCTATTGCACCCTTCGTTTGACACTCTCCTTTCACTCCTATTATCTGTTTGATTATTTGCTATTTTCTGCTGTGTTCCAAAATTAGATCCTCTCCTTCGTTCTAAATCTTCTATTTTCTCCCGTACTTTTTTCCCCTCATGCTTCTGCTTCCCTCCCGAATTTGGTGCGCCTGCCATGTGAAGATGCCGAGACCTCTGGTCGGTTGAGCATGGCAAGCCCCACCAGCACCATCTCACCCCACGCTAGCCCCATGTGCCTGCCGGTGAGTTGTGTATTTTGTAAAAAAATCTCCATTAATGGGTATCCGCCATGTCTCAGAATTGTCTCTAACTGGGGATCACATCCAACCACAATGGATATCCTCAGCTATCCTCAATTGGGCTCCCTGACCCAAGGGAAATAACATTTCCACAGATACCCAATTGGAGTTAAGAGTTACTAGTCGTATGTGGTAAAAACTAGTTGAGGCTATCGCCATGAAAATGAAGGATTTACCACGATTAGACTACAGATATCTTCCTGCAAGGTGCTTGGCTGAAGGAAGTCTACGGATATGAGAGGTCTTCAACGCAGGTCAGCCAAGCTTATCAAGTTAAGTTTACAATCAAACAGAATGAGCGCTGGCAACGGCCCATCACTGTGATTCACAGCAATTACGAATATGTCACTAACCCCAAGGTCGATGCTGCGCGCCCACTTTATAAATCTCTGGTTGGTCCACACAAGTGGGTCGGTGTCGGCATCTTCACACATTGAACGCCGATGCACCAAGACCTGCAAGCCAAACACAAACACACAAAACGAGTCGGTTGGGATCAGAAGGGTATGCCCGAACTTCATTGAAGCTCTATGTGCGTCAGTGAACACCCCCCTCCCCAAAGCATGCTGTCTCAGATCAGTTCTACTGGGAAAACGGCACACGGTTCTCTCACCTGCTTGTCGAACTGCAGTGCACGCAAGAGATCTATGCCGTACATCATACTAGCCTGCAGAGCAGTAGAGTACACAGAGGAGAGAAAACATCACGGTTGGCCAACGTGCAGATACCCACACAATCCCATCACTACTGACACATGCAGGTGGGATTCGATTGCCGTAATATGGTCGAAGCAGCTAAGCTGTCCGGGAAGAAACTACCCAAAAGTCATGTACAAGAACCTGTTCATTGGCACCCAAGCATACACTTTGCTTGATTGGAAGCCTGGTTTGAACGCCAGCTTATTTATGAGACGGTATGATCACTGCTTTTATAGTCGACTTGACTGTATGATCACTGCTTTTATAGTCGACTTGACGGTATGATAGGTATGCCTGTACCGTATTTGCGGTGTATAGTGCGCACCCTGGGCAGTGAATTTTGAAGCTCAAATCTGCAGTGCGCACTATACACCGAATACGAGAATCTAGTACAAAAGTGCCAGAGTTCAAGAGTTCAAGTGCGCACTATACACGTAATGCACTGTATCGTACGGAGCGAGTGCTCAGGTTCATCGACGTTCGAGAACATCCACGGAAAAACAATGATGTTTTCATGTTCACAGTTCGTAGTTCCATCAATTTCCTAGTCATAGTTGACTTACCGGAAAATATTCTTAAGTTTCACCATCCTTTGACGAGATCAATTTCAGAACCAAATATCCCCGATTTGACTGCGCGTTATACACCGAATAGAGCCACTTTGTGTGAATTTGTGGTTGAAGATTGGGGGTGCGCGTTATACAAAGGTGCGCGTTATACTCCGGCAAATACGGTAGTTCAGTCAGCTCATGCATGCATGTGTGCATGGTCTGCCTACTCACATCCAGCAATGTCACAATACTCGCCAGCTAACCTGATGAAACCGCCGGTTGATGCCCAGCATCTTGTCAATCTCTCGGCGAGTGAGGCTGTTGAGAACGCGTCCATCAGCCAGGTTACTAAACATGACATCACTGTGCTGACCAAGACCAAGTTGTGCCATCCATACTGTTGATACCCACACATGATCCATATCTCTGGCTTTCGGGTAAAGCCTATAATATGCATGTAAGCATTCAACATGGTCATATACAACGTATCTGTACAACACAATCATCATATTATATTATGCACGCATGTACTCGCACACACTTATACGCATGCGCTCGCACACATAATCCCGTGGTTTTTATAAAGGAGGCTGCGTTCTTAAGTCTTAATGATATCCGTGATATATTCATTTTGCTTTCGTTCCATAAAAAATATACCATGCACAACACATGCACAACACGCTGGAACACAGCTTCATAGAGTAGCACACAGCTACTTACAAGCTTTCCGGTGACCTGTGCTCTTCAATGGCCAGCCTTAACTTGCGCCTGTGCAGCCCGTTCGTCATTCGGAGAGCCTCCTCAATCTCCTGATCAGACATACCCATCAACACCCGGCCACTCTTCACGTTCTCCTGTGTTTTGAGCACACCATATTCCACCAGTATCCACGGTGGCATGTGTAGAAAAGGAATAAAATACAAAGCAAAAATACAGAGGCCAAAGGCAGAATATCAAAATTGCAACAAGGACACTGTGATTCGAATTGAGATGATGCGACGTTGGCAGATATTGTAGAAGGCGGCTGCTCCTAACGTTGGAACTCGCGCTTTCTACCGCCTGGCTGACACTTGACTGACTCATAACTACCGTCTAGAGCACCGGGAAGTAAGCCGGACCGTCCACGCGGCAAACCAGCAAGAAAGTACCACTTCCTGCTCAATACACAGTGTTTCGTTATTTCACCCCTCATCAGTTGAGCTTCAAAACGGCTGATGAAATGTGCGCTCTGAGAGCACTGCATGATGTAGTGCTCTCTGAACCCAAACATCACTAGGGATACCAATTTACAGTGATGTCCTGTTACCAGCATAACACAAATCCTGCAAGCTCCAGGGAGCAGCATGAGTCAAGGCCGCACTAAACTGATGAGGGGTGAATTTCCTGAAACACTTTGTATTGAGCAGTAAGTGGTACTTTCTCGCAGGTCTGCCGAATAGATGGTCTTGCATTCTTCCCGGTGCTCCAGACGGCAGTCATGAGTCAGTCAAGTGTCAGCCAGCCGGCAGAAAGAGCAGGCTCCCAATTTAGGAGCAACGACCTTCTTTTAAGTATACTGTAAATCAAGAATATTTCAAAATTTTGAAGGACGCTTCACGCAGCTTCATTATACTTGAATTGTTTGCAGGCAACCTGCCTACACTCAAGAGAGCACTGCATTTCACACAAATCCATTGGTATCGTTACAACGTTTCGGTCTTTATGACCATCATCAGGAAGCCTGATGATGGTCATAAAGACCGAAACGTTGTAACGATACCAATGGATTTGTGTGAAATGCAGTGCTCTCTTGAGTGTAGGCAGGTTGCCTGCAAACAATTCAAGAATATTTCGTATGTGATTTTTCGTATGTTTGTACCTAATCCATTCATAAGTACAATATATTTGTACATACGAGCTGTCCACAATACTGTTTGTGCATAACAATTGGCTATTGAATACGTTTTAGAATTTAAATCCATACACCCTCACTGGCTTTGGGCCGTCACTTTATCGCCATCATAATGCATGCATTGGGCGTGATACAAAATAAAATCTCAACAACTCGAATAGTGAGCCAATAGCATTCATGTATAAGAGAAAGGACCAATATGCTACGAGCTATGACTAACAGTCCACCATGATGACGAGATGATATATACCGTATTTCCGCAAATAAAAGACCGTCCTCGTATACAACGCCTTCCTCGAATACAAGGCCGGGGCAGGGGGCGATTGAAAAAATACAAGACCGTCTCCGATTAGAAGACCGGGCCTACTAAATGAGTAATGAAAATAGAAGACCGTGCTCAAACTGTGGGAAAAAATACAAGACCGTCCTCAATTATAAGGCCGGGTTAGGACGAGTTTGAAAAAATAGTAGACTGGCCTACTATTTGCGGAAATACGGTAGTCAGAGAGTGCGACAACAAGGCACACAACTGACACGGATACTGAGTTGCACTATCTGACTGTATTAACCGTTATTATCTTGTTACAATGGTTGACTGTTAGTCATCACTCATAACAAAAATATAATTATATTGATCCTCTTCTACATAAATTAAAAGGTGTATGAAATTTCTTGATTTTCAGTAGCAGACAGCACAATGAACTTAGTATGTGTGCCGCTCACCATCCTTGCATTCCAACTGGTTATGGATGTAACGGTACGTGTGGCGCCGTGTACTAGTGGAGGTTCTCTTAGAGAGTTGAGAGCCAGACAATCAGCCTTGGCAAAATTGTAAAGGGGTATCAAGTTCCGGACCAGATCTCGACCAAAAACGTGATAAATAAGCAGCAGTAACAACATCAAGAATTGCTGTACACAAGTCTAAGATATGCAAAGCTAAGACAGGTAGCTAAGACAGGTAGCTAAGACAGGTAGCTAAGACAGAATAGCTTACCATGCAAGCCTTGGCATACTGTGACATGTTGAGTACAACTTCCAGCCACGCAACCACTGCTGATGAGCGCCATCGTGCCATTGGCTGGCCCCGTGCCTCATCAAGGATTTGCTGCCGTTCTTGCAGTTGTTCATCGCTGAGACCGTGCGGAGACAACTCAGGACTGCCATTGCCGTTGTGGATGCTTGTTGAGAGTTGGTCAAACGAGGCTTGACTTTTGTCTGCAAAGGCCAATAGTGGCAATAGCAACATGAGCAAAATAAGAAACTACAATGTACTTGCAATCAGTCTAAGTCCATTATTCAAACCTCTCAGTTGGGCGCAAACAGGCAGGCGCTCTTGCCGCAATAGTGGCAATGCAGAATGTGCTGAGCTGTTCGCACACTCTGTTCTTATTAACCAGTCTCCAGTTATCATTGTTGTCTGATGGTCGCCTTTTGGCGAGAAACTTCAGAGTCCACAGTGAGTCAGCAGTGAGTGTAGGTTTGTGTGTGTGTGTGTGTGTGTGTGTGTATGTGTGTGTGTGTGTGTGTGTGTGTGCATGCGTGCATGCGTGTGTGTGTGTGTGTGTGCAGGGCAATGTCATTGCCCAATGGGCAGTCATGCTATAGTAGTAGTACTAGTACTAGTATAGTGCTGCTCAATGAAATCCGATCATGTGAGTGAAGTTTGCGCCTTGCACCATTTCGCAGTCCAGTGTTTGCAGGTCTAGGGCTGCACAACTCCTGGTATGTACTTGAGTGACTTGATCAGATAGCTCCTGGTATGTACTTGAGTGACTTGATCAGATTTTATTGAGCAGTGCCGCTGTACATGTATACGCACAGTAAGGGGCCATCCGGCACTATCGATCATTTTCACGGAACGAAAAAGTTTAGTTACAAACCTCCCCCCCCCCCCCCCCCCCCCTGAACGAAAAATATATAGACTTGACAACAAAAATGGATCGATGTTTATGCTATCAATATTTTTCAAAACGGAACTCTCCTCGACCCACCCACCTATTTCATGTAAAAGATCGATAATTACGGACGGTCCCTTACTTAGTAGATAACTCGTTACACGGTTATTATGTGCAAAAACGCAATCAAGCAGGTCAGAGACGATCCCTATCACTGTTTATTTTTTTTAGGGCAATGGTGGCATGGTACACTCCGTTTCATCCTGACACAGCATTGACCACACTAGACTCGCTGTAACATGTGCACTATACAACACATGAGCACTAGGGAAAAGTGGAATGCTGCCCAGTGGTCCAGCTGCACTTCTCTGCTACTAACAGCTGTGGCAGCGATGTGAGGTTACTATCACAGAGGCAACAGTAGCAGCAGCAGAAGCAGCAGGAGCAGCAGCAGCAATTCCCCTTCCTTCCGCCGGCCCATTAGCACGCCCTATACCATAGGAGGAATGCAAATAAGTGACTAGGAGACAGACGATATGCAGTGATTCAGCCCCCATCACACAACCCCCTTCACACAAGCGGTATCACGATGGAACCAAAAAAGCTGTTGTTTTGTACACTACAAATATCGCTAGGAACCGGTATCCAGCATCCAGCAAAGCAACACGGCAGAACGCAGAACTAGAACGCAGAACTAGAACACAGAACGTTCGGAGACAATCAGGGTTCGCTAAAGTATGCCACACATGCACACACTTTGTACTAAGCATGGCTTTTCAGAATGATGTGATCTGATCCTACACTGCATTACGATCCACATACAATTAGCTTCTGCAATCATCTCTTGTGTATGGCAAGACTCGCCTAACACATACTAATTACTATACCCACTCCACACTGACCAGCAATACCAGTACTACTAAGTACTAGTATAATTATTAGGGAAGGCTCTTTAGATCTGGGTTAGACTATGACACATTGGCGCAGCCTTTGTCCTTCAAGTGATTTCAAGTGGCTAGCGTTCTCTAACACAATGATAGCATGACAGCATCAAGCAACTACACCCACTTGCCTAGCTCCAAGTAGTACAAATCAATCACCATATCAGCTGTCATTGGCCAGGATAGGATTAATCTGGTTGGCAAGGCCCATCATACTGGCAGCCAAAGAGAGAGAGAGAGAGAGGAGAGAGAGAGAGAGAGAGAGAGAGAGAGAGAGAGAGAGAGAGAGAGAGAGAGAGAGAGAGAGAGAGAGAGAGCGAGAGAGAGAGAGAGAGAGAGAGAGAGAGAGAGAGAGAGAGAGAGAGAGAGAGAGAGAGAGAGAGAGAGAGAGCGCGAGAGAGAGAGAGAGAGAACTTCCAACATGATGTTTACATGAGTATTCCGCATGAGTACACTGTACTAGTAACTAGTTTCCCATCACCCACAACTCCCCCATCACCCACAACTCCCCCATCGCCCACAACTCCCCCATCGCCCACAACTCCCCCATCACCCACAACTCCCCCATCACCCACAACTCCCCCATCACCCACAACTTCCCCATCACCCACAACTCCCCCATCACCCACAACTCCCCCATCACCCACAACTCCCCCATCACCCACAACTCCCCCATCACCCACAACTCCCCCATCACCCACAACTCCCCCATCACCCACAACTCCTCCATCACCCACAACTCCCCCATCACCCACAACTCCCCCATCACCCACAACTCCCCCATCACCCACAACTCCCCCATCACCCACAACTCCCCCATCACCCACAACTCCCCCAAACTGTAATACGCAGCTGTTTTCAAGTCTTGCTGTGACTTTGCACATTATTTCATAATTCAGTACATCTTTGGGGAAAGTAGTTATCATGGGGTCCCCTATGCCGATATTCAATGTCTGCAAATATTATGTGCAGGCAGTTTCTTTGTCCCCTGGTCTGCACCTCCCATTCATTGCACAAGGGTGTCACTCAGAAACATGCAACTACAAGAAATAGTCAATGTCAACATGAAAACGATCTTGAAACCTTTAGTGAAATCTAGGGAAGCACAATGAGATTTAAGAAGCGGATTCGGCAATAACACCTTGGGTTGTTTCCCATAGATGCTGTCTATGGAATGAGACACATCAAACACCTTACCGTCCGAACTCTCACCATCAAGCTTCTTGCTCCCACTTCTGCTGCGACTGAACACTTTCGACAGGGAGCCAAAAGCACGCTTGCGTTTGGATCGCCTCAATTCTTTGTGTTCGGCGGACTTGGACGTCAGATCAGGTTCACTGTTTCTGTGCAAGAAGCGAGATCGTCGCAGCGCACTATTGTTGGGTGCAGGTGCAGCACTTGCTGGTCGATCTGAATCTCCCCAGGCATCTCGATACAGGGGCAGACCACTATCATGTGCGTCCATCATGTCACTGGATAGGGATTCCCTGGCTGGAGATATACCACCACCAGGAGACGGGGTAGATTCACTTGCCCTTACTTTGGCGTGGCCGTTCTGACTCAAACTAGTCGCTACCCTGCAATTGTTAGGAGTAACATAGGAACCATTGGTGGAACCTTTTTGAGCACAGTGCATCTTCGATCTGGACAGCTCCTCTTCAAGTGCACGCACCATCGTATCTTTGGCATCCAACTGGGTCCGCAAGATGACAGAGCGCTCTGAGCTTTCCCTAGCTCGGATCAATATATCCCACTTCTCTCTCTCGATGCCTTCCTTCTCTGCTTCCACCTGTCGTAAACTGTCTTCGTACTCATGCAGACGCATTTCATACGAGTCAATGTACTGTCTCACCTCGTCTTCCTTATTTTGAAGTGTACTGTACAGGTGCTTCATTTGCTGAAGTAAATCACTTTTCTCGCTCTTCAGCCTCTTCTTATCCGCCTTTGTAGCCAAGTAGGATTGGCGTAGACGAGAAAGCTCCACTTCCAAGCGTACAGCGTATGATTTACACTCTCCTTCATTTGAAGTTTCCAATTTTTTCCACGCCCGTAGCTCATCCAGTTCCACTTTCTGCTTGAGCCGATCGGATTCGCTCTTCTTGAGCTGTTCTTGAAGTAGGGCTATGGAGGCTTCCACGTCACCGCAACTTTCGACACCAAGTGCTGACAACATTCGTCGAACCTGCGACGACAGATCAGCGGCGGTGGATGCAGCGCTGGGAGAAGACATTTCAGACGATTTCACCGATTTCACTTCGTCAAGCAGCTGTGCCAGGTTCTGTCGTAGCGTGGCTAAACATTGTAGAACATCAGCTTTGACGGTTGACGTTGGACAGGACACGACCAATTCGTTGCTTGATGCTGTTGGTTGCTGGCCCGGCTCAGTACTCTCGCCGCTCGTATCGATGTTGACTTTCACCAGGCAGGCATTCAGCTCGTCCATGGCCCTGCGAATCGTAGCTACTGCCTCTCCACATTCTGCTGCACAAGTAATAGTTGTATCCGTGCTGTCAACACAGATTTGTGCCTCCATCGCTAAACCAACTCACTCTCCGTCTATCAATCAGTCAATCTCTCTTTCTCTCTCTGTGATCAAAGGCTGAGAATGAAAAGGCCTTGCAGAAAAGATTGCGATGTTGCAGTAGATCTACACTACGAGCCGAAGGGACCATGAAAATCTCGCGCTTTTGTCAGGCAAAGTTAGTTCTGTACCCACACGCCGTGGAACGCACGTAACATTGCATCTCCGCAGTGTCTAGACCGGTACAGTACAATGTCGTGTAGAGTCACACTCGGAGTCGTACGGCCACTGCGCCGAGGAGCGAACACGTAACGATCGTGCTACTGCTGTACAACTAGTACTAGTAGTAGTAACTACTGTAACTACAAAACGACTTACGTAGATCTACTTGTACTTGTAGTTGTAGGTTGGATCGTTTTCACCTGTTCACACACTTCATAGTTCATACCCGGACCCAAGCACCGGTGCACCATAGCCTCATAGGCATAGGCATAGCCGAGTATAGGTATAGGATAATCCCACCGTCAACGTCCCGGGGATCCCGCGTCGGTACGGTTGGCCTGGCCTGGCACACTATAAATATATAAGTAAACAAAAATTCCTAAACTGCAAAAGGTAAAAATTGAAAAGTCAGTATAGTCATGTTTTTTGTAAGTACACGTGTACATTATAATTATTCCCGTAGCTATGCAGAAGACGTTACTTCAGTAACGTCTGGCGCTAGCCAGGGTACACACAGCTTTAATTTGGTACAGGTGGAATCCTGATAATTCGAACCAGGGAGTCGTATTTGTACAGGGAGCCGTATTTTACGACTCCCTGATTCGAACCTCCAAATGGGCCTTGGCGGATAATGCCGGCATTATTATTATTATGTACAGTTTGTTTGTATGTCGGTTTATATTTCACGTACAAGCGTACTAGTGGGATACTCATAGTAGTAGTAGTATTTATTTTATTTACCATCGGATGCCTCAACAGTGATACACACAACTCTTAAGAGGGCCGATAACGGGATAAGTGGAAAGGAAAGGAAAAGAAAAGATAGAAAAAATTGGAATTCAGACATCAAGCAGTACAGTAATCAAACACCAAGTCAACTTCAATCTTAGTACAAGAACTATCAAGATCATCGAGAAACTCAACGGATTCCAAAAAGAAGGTCAAAATACTTCTTAAACGCCACTGGGTCTTTAAAAAGATCCCTGAGTTGGTTTGCAAATGTAGAGGTACGGTGGTGTCTGCGCCACTCGGCAGCTAGTGTATTAAAGAAAATTGCGGCACGATTAGAAAAAGAATTTACTCCATCAGTTGTCCGGTGCTTAGATATGGCAATGGAAGCATTAGAGTGGCTTCTAGTTCTAAGGCTTGTTGTGATCGGTGGAAATAATTCCGTTAGGGTAGGCAGTGAGATGATGACATGATTTCTATGAATAAACTCATGCTGACCTTCATACAAACTGACAGTCAACTATTACTTCTTCCTGTTTCTATGGTGGCGGTCTATATGGGGTTTGTATGGGGTTTGTATGTATAGGATATTACCCAAGTACGAGGGTGTTACCTCCCGAATATCATCCCGACTGCGTAGCAGGAGGGATGATATGAGGGTACGGTAACACCCGAGTACGCGGGTCAATATCCTACTTATCCCAGGTCCATCTACGCATTTTGGGGATCGACGCAACTGCGTTCTTAATACAATTACCAAGGTACAGCTATACCAAAAACAAGATGCTGCCTTTCTTTTCAATCCAGTCAAGGTTTGAGAGCGATGGAGCTCGGGAGACAAGTTATATACAATTTTTAGTAGTTGGACTAGAGAATTGACGAAGATTGCACTGTTATGATACATACATGTAGTCATTTGGTTCAAAGTAAGGACCATACTTCAAGTCACGGCGAGATACCACGTCATTATGGAGGCTGGTGCTGACTTCCTTGTCATTGGATCGGCGTGGAACTTTCAGCGGTTTGGGATCCTTGCTGAACACTGTCCGTACAGGCAGTAACCACATTGTACATATCGTCGGACATTGGCACCAGTGAGTAAAGTGCATTTCGTTGTATCAAGACTCTTCGTTGTATCACTATCGGCCACTATGCAATCAGAAGAACGTTGATCTTGTTATATTATAGGCATACTGGATTTGTAGCAGCATCTACGTTTTAGATTGTTCTTGTGGTATCGTACTGGATACAGTTTTCTCAAGGTTTGGAGACTCCACTGTAGCCAATACTTGAATCCATACATCCTGTACACACACCTTGTACACACTCTCTCTAACGGTCTCTAGGCTACACTGCAATTGATATTATAGCAATAAAAACTGCTTTATGGCAGTTTTCTAAAAAAAGTTATTGTGTTCTAGTCCATGAACCCCGTCTAAAAAGTAAGAAATTACCGAAATGTGATAGCTGAAAATTAAAATTTCACACAAAACCTCACAATAATCACAACAATTAAAATGCTGCTTTCAACTTTAACTTGTACTGCACCAACAATTGGCAACATGCATGCATAGGAAAGAGGATCACGAGGGGAAAAGGTCTTCTACATGTAGCCTTTAATTCTGTGTGTGATTATTGTGAGGTTTTGTGTGAAATTTTAATTTTCAGCTATCACATTTCGGTAATTTCTTACTTTTTAGACGGGGTTCATGGACTAGAACACAATAACTTTTTTTAGAAAACTGCCATAAAGCAGTTTTTATTGCTATAATTTCTTTTGTTTTTTCTGTCACCAATCAATGGAATGCCCTATTTAAATAATTATGTAAATGATGGCCTTCACATCATATCAAGAGGTTTATGTACTCTTGATCATAGCAATACCGTATAATACGCATTGATGTGCAAGCCTTTTCTTGCAGAAAATGGCACTAGCATAATGCATGTTTTTCTGCGGGGAAACATGTGAGTAGTGGTGGATTTTATACGGAGGTCATTCTGTGCATGTTGCGGTTGCAGAATTTCATGACTGTCATAAATTTGTCTTGCCTTTCAGATATTTCAGATTTCCCCACCCTCGATCAGATTTATTTGAGAAATGTAGCCATGCGCCAGGTGCGTGTCGCAGATGTTTTTTGTTGATTCTGTGTTTATTATGGTTTATAATCATGGGTTATCGTGATAAGGTCATCCAGCATCATATTGCACTGAAATCGTAATCCTGTTCATGTCGATACAACTTTTGGAAGTAGGTCAATGACTTCAAACTGTTAGTCCACGATTTTCTAAAACAACACAGCAAAGGAGGAACAATAAACATGTATTAAAATGTAAACAAATACATTGCTGAGTCCGACAACTCGTTCCAACAACTATACACTGATCCTGAGGATAAAAGGGTCAAGGCTAAGGTTGGAGGTACTGATACTGAGAGATAAACAAGGCACTCCATGATAATAAAATCTTACACATCTTTTGGTGAGTATGAATGATATCCAGTCGAACCTCTTTAGGACGAACACCAAGGGACCGATGGTATTTATTCTGTGAGTTTGTCTTAACCTATTTTATAACCAGTGAATACCATTATTTCTCCAATAGACATACGAATAGATTTCTTCTACAGCGAAAGATTCTAAGCCACACCGACTCTGAACCTTTCTTTAGCAACATGACGGCAACTGAAACAGCAACAGAGAAAGTACACATACATGTACTGCACATTCTTGCAGGTACTACAAACAGATTGCAGATCGTAATTCTTGCTTTGGCGGCACGAAACTTTATATGGGGCAGTGCAATCTCGGCGGTACTCACAAATCAAACAGCCCAGACTCGAGTAAACAAATCCAATCATACAAGTACGAGATTTTCACGAGACGAGACTGCACCCATTGGCTTGTTTCGTATGAAGCAAACAAGTTACTGAACCTCTCCACAATTGGAGATGTTCCCTGATCTGCGAATTTATTTTGGCAAACTCCGTCAATGAGTCCTTGAACCTTTCCCTCCAGATTGGGAAATGCCAACGATAGTATGCCACTGACCAGTGCCTTACTTGTAACGTACTAATGTGCAATGAATATGAGTAATTCGACAACACATCTAACATAAGCCTTACCGTCAAGAAGGTGAACTCGCGTTCTTCGCACACTGTAGACAAGGACAAAGAGATAGAAATGGATCTAAATCCGAATAAAATCAGCACACGTTTCCGTAAATGAAAGGGTGAGCATAAGCAAATGAATCGAAGGAAACTGGTCAACTCAGAGATCAACTGTCATTGAGTATTCCGTAAAAGAAGGCCTCGGCAGCGGAAAAGCTAAATTTAGAAAGGAGATCCTGTCAGCTTTTCCATTATTTATTGCATTCCGCCCAAAATCAGCACACTTTTCGTAAATGAAAGAGTCAACACAAGCAAATGAACCAAAGGGAACTGGTCAACTCACCTGTCATTGAGTAATATTCCGCGAAAGGAGGTCTCAGCAGCGCCGAAACGAAATAAGCCAGGCCAGGAGACGAAATATCCGAAACAGCTCATGCAAGAAGCAGTTCCAAAGAAGTAAGTTCCTCGTGCATGCACATCCGAAAAGGCAACAACAAAAAGTCTGCAATGCCCACGCATGCGGCCAGCCGGCCGCGCGATGGTAGGATCTAGGAGCCATGGAGTAGCTCCCTGGTCCAGGACCAGGTACCGAGCATCTTACGTAGAAACTGACGTAGCTACGTAGACAACGTGTCTAAATAGCGGTGTCGTTAGGTAGCGCCATGTGAACACAATAATAGAAAAGCTGACAGGATCGCTTTTCTAAATACATTAGATCAAATTTTCGGGCAAGGCCCATCATCAGGAATAAGTCTACTGTAGACAAAACAGGGCTATATATATATATATGTGACAAGTACTAGTGGATACAGTGTCATGATAATCATTGCAGGTCGCATCTTGCATCCATATCTTATCTACATCACACATGGATTGCTGAGCTCTTCTTCTTTCACACTGTGGAATATTCGGCTCACTTTCACGTCTTGTACTTTTCGTGTTGTTACGGTATCTCTCCTTGCAATTAGATACAGTGTCATGATAATCATTGCAGGTCGCATCTTGCATCCATATCTTATCTACATCACACATGGATTGCTGAGCTCTTCTTCTTTTACACTGTGGAATATTCGGCTCACTTTCACGTCTTGTACTTTTCGTGTTGTTACGGTATCTCTCCTTGCAATTAGAAATTTTCACTCGGATGGTGATACTTTGTGTAGTTTTCGAGTTTACAAAGAGTGAATGAGAACAGATGCACTTCGAAGTCTCCTTTGTGTCGTAGTGTTGAGTTGAATAGTGATTGGAGTTCGTTGTTTGTTTGTGTGGAATCTGGTTTTGGACGTTGTCGCGGAGGTAAGTTCTCTCCGTTCACTTTTACTGTACCGACGGTGCACTCTGCATTGGCATGCTCCCACCCTCTCACGGTTCTGTGTAGTGCATTTTGTCGCTGGGTTTCTGATTGAAAGGATCTAGGACTCCAGTGGCAAGATGCATTGCATCGAATCGAGAGGGGATGGGGGCATGCCAATGCAGGGTGCACCGTAGGTACGGTAAAAGTGAACCCAGTTAATAATGCATGTTAATGAATATCATCCCGCGCGGGATTGTATTGGCTATTATTTCCCGGTCAGCAAGGCTCCTGATTGGCTGACACAGGCCTATAGTACCGTACCATGGGATAAGAGGTTTATATGCCCAGTATAAGCCGCCAGCATGATGGGCAAGTTGACTGGAAGTTTGTATGAAAGGTTAGCATAATGAGCATTATACGTAGTTTCGGGCATTAGAGCATTATACGGCAAAAAGCATTATGTACCAGGTACTGTAGCCACTATACCCATTTTTGAGGCATTTCCACTAACAGATCTATAATCTACGTACATGTATTAGTACCGGTACTGCGGTAGAATGACGACTGCACTGCAGTCTGCAGTGTCGGAACTCGGAAGTACAGTCGACATGAGAACAGTGCAGTGAACACCAGTCACTACGTATGACGTAACCATGGTAACACTGGTGTTGCTGCGTAGAGCTAGAGATGTATCCGGGAGGATGTGAAACATGTTAAAATTATTTTGATGCTGGCCGAGCGCCTGGCATATGCATGCAGCTAGCTCATGACTCAACAAACGTCTCAAGCTCAGTGCTGCGCGCTAGCACAGAAACCATGTGCTTTTGCCGTTTTGGGACATAAATCCACGACTTCCGCGAGAGGATGTGAAACAATAGTCATGGGGCTGTTTAAGCGATGACGTCACAGTTCCTTCGATACGCAAAGCAACGATCCCACTGGGGACAAACAAAAGTAGCGTCGTCTCCACCGAACCAGTTGTCAGTGGCAACATAATATTATAGGAATCGTGTACATTTCTTCGTTTCTTCTTTGCAGTTTTCAGTGAGTGTTTTGTTTTCTCTTTGTCCTTGATCTCGACGGTGTAGTCGTGCTCATTACCTTACTGAGACGTCTCTTGTGACTGTAGCCAGTGTCACGGAGGATTTTATTGGCGTGACGAGGTAGATCGCCGAGATCGAGCGTGAAAAACGCTCTGCATTAGTAGCTCCTGTAGAATGTCTTTTGGGATGGCGTATCCATGGTCAACAAAGCCAAGGTGCAAGACAGCATAAGAGATCGTGTAAACGATGTGAACTCCAAAAGGTAAGCTCCTGAACAAGTCGAAAGATATGTGTATTTACAAACTCTCTCTTCATCCATCGATTGCCCCTATGCATTGCATTTTGTCTTCACAGATAATCTGGACAAATAAATTATATTGTAACTGGAGAGTGCAATCGTGCTTGGGACCCATCCCAATGTCATCACATGGCTGTGGTGACTAGTGTATACCTGTACCTGGGAGAGTTTTTCCTCAACTGAGACGGAGTGTAGGTGGACGGATTATGAGAAATGCGAAGATGTGGAGTAAGTTGTGTCGAAGAAATGTGTAATATTAAAAATAAAATTTACTTTACACTCAAACATACACTGTACATGTAACATCACGATAATGATTCCATCTTCATATCTCCGCAACAGGTACGCCATACGCACCGAATACATGGTGTGTGTGCACGCGCGCGCTTGCGTGCGCGCGTACATGCACACACTCTCATGCGTGGCCAAGTTGGCCGGATGTGCAGACCACGCATTTGCACGAGGTGTCCGTCATGTCATTGGAATGCTGTACTTTATGACTTTATTTCAAAATAGTATGTCTTGCCCCTGTCAAATGGAGTTTGTGTCTGTGCTCAGCGGGTATCGGGCCACGACGCCACACTGCAGTCAGCGCTGGAATTAAAATAGCACTTCATGGATTATTTTAACTAATTTCCTTTGCGTTTACATGTACTTTGTTGAGCCCGTGGTTTCATTTCTGTGTTCTGTTATAATTGGCCTCTGGAAATAATCGGAGTGGATGTCATTTTTGTCATATGTGTGTGCCTTGTGCAACAGGTTCAAGGCTAGATGCACTTCACATTCGGCGTGCGATCTCGGCGTCTGGGACCTGATAACGTCTTGGTTGGATGGGTGATCAAGGATGATACTACTCGGCACACCAATGTACATGTCAATGTAATTTTTACTTTTTCAGAGCTGCACTATTTACGGACGAATGTGTCTGTTAGAGAGGAAATAAATAGTATTCACAAACAAGTCCCACTTATTGTTTCTGTTCGTAAAAGGAAATTGCAATTAAATTGGTCATATTGTTCGTTCCGGCTGTTTGTCATTGACTGTTCTTCAGGGTTGTGTTGCTGGAGATGATGACTATTTACATCTTGATGCTTACTTCGGTGCTAGCGTGTTTCCCCCGGATTATTTCTATCATCATGCGTGTTCTTGGGCTGAGCGAGCACATGCACGAGTGTGCAGCTATAACCCCGTGTATCTTTGGTTACACTTTGTTCTGCAACGCATGTACCTTGTAACAGTATGTGCTTGCACTGCTTTGTGTGGCCTGCGTATTTCAGGACTATTTAGTGCATTAGACCCAGGTTGGTTTGGTTGCCGGATGATCTCTTGTTGCGTCGCTCTGTGTTTTGTATTCATCAATTTTTGGGCTTGAGAATTGAGCTGGTGTGTGGTTCCCAATATCAAAACATCATGCTGGTGCTCTGTGTTTCGATTATCGACTGTCCGAGCAGTCACGATTCATTACCAGAACGGTCAATACTGTAGTCTCTTGACGTGTTTGTCTTTTTGTGTTTTCGCCGGGGGAGTTAGCGGTGACGTTGTACATAGAACGGCAGTGTTGCATCACTGGACGACCCTGCCTCTGCATCTGACTTCATGTCCCCAGGATCTGGTGCAGATACACCAGACAGTCACTTCCTGTAAACACGCAAACAGCAAAAGAAGAGATCCCGCAAATCAGGAAAAACCATTGTGGAAAATATCGAGAACATACACCATTCAATAATCTGGAGTAATTACAGTGAGACAAACACTTCAGTGCTCTCTCTCTCTCTCTCTCTCTCTCTCCATCCTTCCTTCCAAAATACCCTGTAACAATTCCCTAGAATTATTTTATTTTATATTCTCAGGACATCATTCTGAACATAATAACTCTTCTTCCATGGTCTTCAATCACCACGGAGGGCGAGAATATATCTAAGTCATGCAGTTTACGGGAGGTGCGAGCTGTCATGGATATAGAGGCTGATATTATTGTGCCAGCGTGAGGGCAGAGACAGAAAGAAGACACTTATTTCTTGAACAACTCACCTACATATAATCGAATCCACAGGGAGCGCTCGTACTTTGATCCATCAGGACGCGAAGAATCTTCAAAGCACTCTCAAACACGGAGTTTTACAGTGTGCAGCCAATTTCACAGCCATTATGAAGGCCCTCGACGACTACAGGAGATTTGTAGAGGAAAGAACAAGGAGTAAAGAGCGACAACAATCGCTTGAAGAAAAAGCAAAGAAAAACTGCTCTCTCTCCAGTCATTTAGATGCTGTTGCCTTTGACAACTGGTTCCATCCAGAGGACGCGACTTTTGTTTGTCCCCATGGCCCAGTGCTAGGCCCCCGGCCCCCCGTGTAATATGCCGGCATTTTTTTTCAGCATTTTCGGTACAATCCGCGAACCCAGCACTTTGGGCTCGTGATGCAGCATTTTGGGGGAAACGGAGCACTGGGGCTGTTAAGTGATGACGTCACAGTTCCTTCGATACGCATAACAACGATCCCACTGGGGACAAACAAAAGTAGCGTCGTCTCCACCGACCCAGTTGTCAGTGGCAACATATAGGAATCGTGTACATTTCTTCGTTTCTTCTTTGCTGTTTTCAGTGAGTGTTTTGTTTTCTCTTTGTCCTTGATCTCGACGATGTTGTCGTGCTCATTACCTTACTGAGACGTCTCTTGTGACTGTAGCCAGTGTCATGGAGGATTTTATTGGCGTGACAAGGTAGATCGCCGAGATCGAGCGTGAAAAACGCTCTGCATTAGTAGCTCCTGTAGAATGTTTTCTGGGTTGGCGTATCCATGGTCAACAAAACCAAGGTGCAAGACAGCATGAGAGATCGTGTAAACGATGTGAACTCCAAAAGGTAAGCTCCTGAACAAGTGGAAAGATATGGGTATTTACAAACTCTCTCTTCATCCATCGATTGGCGCTATGCATTGCATTTTGTCTTCACAGATAATCTGGCCAAATTTATTGTAACTAGAGAGTGCAATCGTGCACTGCTTGGGGCCCATCCCAATGTCATCACATGGCTGTGGTGACTAGTGTATATCTGGGAGAATTTTTCCTCGACTGATACGGAGTGCAGGTGGATCGATTATGAGAAATGCGAACATGTGAAGTAAGTAATTAGTTGTGTCGAAGAAATGTGCAATAAAATAAAATTTACTTTACACTCGAACATACACTGTAGATGTACATGTAACATCATGATAATGATTCCATCTTCATTGTCCCGCAACTGGTACACCATACGCACCGAATACATGGTGTGTGTGTGTGCGCGCGCAAGCGTGCGCATGTACATGCACACACTCTCATGCGTGGCCGAGTCGGCCAGATGAACAGACCATGCATTTACACGAGGTGTCCGTAAGGCCACACGTTTTAATTTCTATGTTTCTCGTCACCTGAAAATCTAAAAACGTAGGCGAGAGGTGGAAAAAATAAAAAATGACCGAAAAATAAAAAAAGGTTATTAGACCTGTGTTCACACTAAAATCCACCAATACACCATGCAAAATAGCATCCATAGTTAGCAAATAAATAGTATGTGGTAGGAGCTTCTGTCACAATCTGAGCATGTGCAGCTAGATTGCGCACAAAAATGCCATCCTTGCATCATGTGTCGCGCAGGCCAGGCCACATTATGTACATGTGCATGAGTGCGCTGGTCCCCACATGCACAGTCAGTGCAGCACAGTTTTTTTCTTTTTTTCTTCCAGACTCCTGAATCGTATGCGGGCGGGTGACGAGAAACATAGAAATAAAAACGTGTGGCCTAATGTCATTGGAACGCTGTACTTTATGACTTTATTCCAAAAGAGTATGTCTTGCCCCTGACGAATGGAGTTGTGTCTGTGCTCAGCGGGTATCGGGCTATGACGCAACACTGCAATCAGCGCTGCAATTAAAAGAGCACTGCATGGATTAGTTTGACTAACTTCCTTTGCGTTTACTTGGTTGAGCCCGTGGTTTCATTTCTGTGTTCTGTCATGATTGGCCTCTGGAAATAATCAGAGTGGATGTCATTTTGCCATATATGTGTGCCTTGTGCGACAGGTTCAAGGCTAGATGCACTTCACATTCGGCGTGCGATCTCAGCGTCTGGGACCTGATGAAGTCTTGGTTGGATGATTATTCAAGCCTGATACTACTCGACACACCAATGTTCATGTCAATGTAATATTTTCAGAGCTGCACTATTTACGTGTTGATGCTTACTTCGGTGTTAGCGTGTTTCCCCCGGATTGTTTCTATCATCATGATCGTGTGTTCTTGGGCTGAGCGAGCACATGCACAAGTGTGCAGCTATAACCCTGTGTATCTTTGGTTACACTTTGTTCTGCAATGCATGTACCTTGTAACATTATGTATGTGCTTGCACTGCTTTGTCTGGCCTGCGTATTTCAGGACTATTCAGTGCATTAGACCCAGGTTTGTTTGGTTGCCGGATGACCTCTTGGTGCGTCGCTCTGTATTTGTATTCATCAATTTTTGGGCTTGAGAATTGAGCTGTTGTGTGGTTCCCAATATGAAAACATCATGCTGGTGCTCTGTGTTTCGATTATCGACTGTCGGAGCAGTCATGCATTTATTAGCAGAACGGTCAATACTGTAGTCTTTTCACGTGTTTGTCTTTTTTGTTTTCGCCGGGGGTATTAGCGGTAACGTTGCACACAGAACGGCAGTGTTGCATCACTGGACGACCCTGCCTCTGCATCTGACTTAATTTCCCCAGGATCTGGTGCAGTTACACCAGACAGCCACTTCCTGTAAACACGCAAACAGCAAAAGAAGAGATCCCGCAAATCAGGAAAAACCATTATGGAAATATAGAGTAGATCATACAACATTCAATAATCTGGAGTAATTACAGTGAGACAAACACTTCAAACAGTGCTCTCTCTCTCTCTGTCTCCATCCATCCAAAAATACCCTATGACAATTCCCTAGAATGATTTTATTTTATATTCTTAGGACATCATTCTGAACATAATAAATTCTTCCATGGGTCTTCAATCACCACGGAGGGCGAAAATATATCTAAGTCATGCAGTTTACGGGAGGTACGAGCTGTCATGGATATAGAGGCTGATATTGTGCCAGCGTGAGGGCAGAGACAGAAAGAAGACACTGATTTCTTGAACAACTCACCTATATATAATCGAATCCACAAGGAGCGCTCATACTTTGATCCATCAGGACGCGAAACATCTTCAAAGCACTGGAGTTTTCCTGTGGGCAGCCAATTTCACAGCCATCATGAAGGCACTCGACGACTACAGGAGTTTTGTAGAGGAAAGAACAAGGAGTAAAGAGCGACAACAATCGCTTGAAGAAAAAGCAAAGAAAAACAACTGTCTCTCCAGTCATTTAGATGCTGTTGCCCTTGACATCTGGTTCCATCCAGAGGACGCGACTTTTGTTTGTCCCCAGTGCTCTCCGTTGCTATGCGTATCGAAGGAGCCGTGACGTCACACTTAACAGCCCCCTTGGCCGTTGTGTATCAAATTATATTATTTGAGAGAAGAAAAACTTCCCAAACAAGAACGTCACTTCCGCATTCCGTGGGTTAGCTTCTTGTTGAGTAGTTTATGAATTGTTTACCATGGCGGACTCGAGCAAGTCTCTTATTGAGTATTTTCTGACTCCCTGGTTTTGACGGCATGTGCTGAGGATGACAAAAAAGTGAGCATTTTCGGCACGGTTTGGGAGCATTTTCGGCAAGGTTTACGAGAATTTCCCAAAAGCATTTTCGGCAAAGTTTCGGGCATATTACACCGAGGCCTACCCAGTGCTCTCCGTTGCTATGCGTATCGAAGGGGCCGTGACGTCACACTTAACAGCCCCATTAGAGAGGTTCCGGGGTACGATTTTCCGTGCCAAAATCCGTATGGGCGCCACGGATTTTTTCCAGGCATGCTCCATACGATTTTTCGGCACGGAGAATCCGTGTGGACTGGCTTTCACACGAACCATGTTTCGTATGGAGATTTTGCGTCATCGGGTGCAGAAAGATTTTTCGCGTACAAATTTGGTACGAGAAACATCGATTTCCCGCGGGAAGTTTTGATTTCGGTACAAATTTTCAAAATAAAAAGGCATAGCGCGGGAATGTGACGTGTTTGCGATCGTAACCTAGGCAATGACGGCAAACACATAAGTTCCGTACTATACTCCGGAACATTTCACTGCTCGAAAACGACGTATAAAAAATCCGTAGCGCCTCTAATTACGGAGCATCAGCAAATCGAATATTCGAATGAAATTCGAGAATCGTCACGAAAAGCACTCAATCAGTCGAAACTAGGGCTTTGTTCGACTGAAAAATGCCCGCAAACAGAAAATACTTTTCGAATACTTTTCGAATGCTCCGCGCGTGCTCTAGTACACGGCGCACTACGAGTACTCATTGTTGCGCATGTACATGTAGCTACTAGTTCTTACTAAAGTACTAGTCCGGACTAGGCCTTGACGGATTATGCTAATATTTTCGTGAAATTATGCTTTTCGCATTGCTGAAAAAATTGCAGAATTATGCTATTTTTATGCTAAAAGTTATCATATTATGCCGTATTGTGCTCACATATGCTGCTAATGCATAATGGTTCTGTGCAAAATAACAGGGGAATTTTTTGGTAGAGGGCGTTGTACTGTAGTAGCAAAAGTTCAACGGGGTCAACGCACCGTCCGACCTAGCTACGTCCATCACTGATTGTAGTGGACTGGACATGTTATCAAGGGAGTGGTAAACCTACAACTTCCTAGTGCATCTACTTGTACTTGTACTTGTATAACATGTACAACTGTATGGAATGTGATGCGAACAGGCGGATTATCACAATTTTATGCGATTCGTATGCAATTTGCCTCGAATTATGCGATTATTCGATTTTGGTAGGAATTATGCGAAAAATTATGCTAGCATAATCCGTCAAGGCCTAGTCCGGACTTCTTGTCAATCTTGACGCTTTCCTCTCTCTCGAACTGTGAAAAGTTTTATCAAGTGTGCATTTTGTTTCATTTCAAGTATCCTGGAATCATGGCTTTGTCACCAACTACCAGCCCCGGTATGCCTCCTGCTCCCAGTACTGCAGTAGCCCTGCTGGCGTTGTCTCGGCATCTGCGTCTATGGTGAGTTCCCCGCAGGGAGAGGGCAACTCAAAGTGTGCCAAATATTTGAGGGTCGACCTTACCATGGATCTCATTCTGCTGAGGCAGTGTAGGGCCCACCCTCACCTATTCGTCCGCGGGTCTCCTGATATGCAAGGGATAGCGGAGGAGCTCGGCCGAGATCCGCCTTTTCAAGGGGTCTCCAAGAGAGATCCTATCGCCAATAGCCTGAATCGGATGAAGCATCCGCCGCTTCGCGTCATCCCCAAAGGCAATGAGAAACAACAGCAACTCCGTTCATTGCACATCTCAAAATCCCAGTCCTCAACGCACTGCTCAAGCTAAAAAAAACTCGATTCGAAAATACTGGACTGCGCTACATGCTGAACCTCTTTTTCATTCGAATTTTCTCTCTGATTTTCTTTTTGCCATTCGAATAATCAAATCGAAAATTCGATTTGCTGATGCTCCGTAATAGCTAATATTTTGGCACGAAAAGTCGTACTCCGGAACCTCCCTAATACTACAGTCGTCGCCATAAAAATCCGGCCGATGCCAAGTATACGCGTACATAGGTATGGTAGGTAGATCGATCTACGCGGTACTTCATCGCGGGTTCATGCACTGGATCAGTGGAGTGCACATGCACTAGACTCTAGTCTATTATACCATGGTACGGTACGGAGGGCCTGTTTTCAGCCAATCAGCGCTCGTCTAGCCATGGTTATATTGGCCAGTATAAATCCCGCGCGGGATTTATATAGAATATAAATCCCGGTGCACGGTACGTACGCTAGGGCACTGCCACCGTACAAGTTCACTGCCTGAAAGGCAGTGAACTTGTACGGCGGCAGTACTCCAGCGCACGGACCATACATAAACAGACACAACGGACACCACATGCGCGTGTACCATGGTGTACACTCCACACCAGGGAGTCGTATAGACCCGGGAGGCGACACGAGGCCTTCCGGGCCGACTATGATTGACTCGCGGCACTTTCTCCCACTTTTCCCTCAGATATCCCCGGTGCGTGCCCTGAGTTATAAACCAACTACTCCGCGTACATATGCCATGGGACTTTGGGAGTGCACTCCTTGGGGAACGGACTCGTACAGGATCGATAGGATCGTGGGAAATCGTAGCTCGAAAAGAAGAAGAAGAATGAACTACTTTTCCAAGTAATTGGTTGCATTTGATGATCGTGATGGAGGCAGAGAGTGCTGCTGATCGCGATCCAGATCCGGGTCAAGAATCACCTCCTGATCCTAAGGAAACCTCAGCTGACGTAGATCTACCTTCTCTTCGCGTGAACGCTCAGTCTGTGTTGGCTTGGGCCACAGGTATGGTTTGAATTCTAATTTTCTATGTTATTATATTTTTTCAATTTGCCTTGAAACTTTCAACCTTGCTACTTAGCTTAGCGGCTTCTGATCTGGTGCGCGTACTGCATAAAAAGTTGCGAATAATCATGAATTGGAAGAAATACTTGTGGGTTGATAGAGTGCAGTACTTGTTCAATGGCTTCTACAGAGCGTTCCGAATCCCAGCCGCTAAAGACCCACAGAAGGCAAGAAGCTTGCGTTGCAAAGCTGCTGTCCCGCCTGACTGCGGAGAAAGAAGACTCGTTTATGGTTGTTCTACAGCCGCTGCTGACGTCCATCAGCTCTGTCCTGCTCCCAGCAGCAGATTGGCCTGGATTTCAATGAGTCGTGTCCCAACTCCGGTGTGAACGATTTCCCGACGTCAAGACGAAGTGGGGTCAAGTCAAGGAAGCTGTCACAAGATGATCCGGTATTGAACGGTAGGTTTTGTAAAGCTGCTCTAACATTTGGATACTATAAATTATAACATTAAATTATATTGACACTGTTGACAGATGCGTAGACTCTGCTCCTGTCTAACAGGTTCAGGGAAGATGCGAGCTGTGTTTATTATTATTATATTAAATTATTATTTGTATTCACGAAGCCATGCCCAAGACGTGCGACATAGCGTGCGTTCGTGTGTATGTGTGTGCGTGCGTGTGTATATTGTGTGCGTGTGTGCGCGCTTGTGTATGTCGTAAAATCCCGCCAGAGCACCCCTACCTCCGCAACCATTCGAGTAGATCCATGTGGGGAGGGGCGGATGGGCGAGTCCTGCTTGCCGCATTCAGTACTACATGAAAAAGTACTCACCCTACGGAAACTGTGCGTGCGTCTCGTACACCCAACAAAAGTCAAGAGCTGGGAGTCGTACAAACCCATCAAAACCCTAGGGTGTGTGCGATCTCTGGTCAAGAGGGTGGGAACTGTTGCGTACATTTCCAACCAGGTCGTAGCCGCGTCTGCAGTACAGTACGCCCTCACACTTCACATAGTCATACGAGGATACAACTCTATTGATAGATAAGATAACGTGCTTGTAGATCTCTGCCATGCCAAAGTTGCATTCAGTAGAGGTAGTAGTCTCTGTCAAACGTGTTTGCCGTTGGCTCACGGCACTTGTAGCAGCTGATCAGACGATGCAAATGGACTCCCAGTCCTCATTAGCTGGTTCTTGAGATGCCTTCGAAAATATGCCATGGCACGCACTTTCCACTGTTGTTACATAGGGCCGGACGTGTGTTGTCCTGAGCTTGCCACGATACTTTCCGATCTGTCCATCTCCTCTCTTTGTTAAGTTGGAATTATTTGAAGAGCTGATGGCTGGTAACTTGCTGGTCAGCTGGTAGGAATATGTTTGCAAGTGTTGCTGCTGATTTGTACATTGAATTGCTGGAGTGACGTGGCCTTGAGTAGTCTTCCCCAGCAATGAACTGTAGAGTAGCATGCGTATTGAATTCTCTTGTTGCCGGTTCATCGGTCCCTCTCCATGACACCGGACTAGACTGAACTACTGGCGTCCCTTCATCGGCCTGCTTTTCGCCTCGAACTTCACGAGTCTTGAAATCTGGACCCAACATAATAAAAGTGGGACTCAATTGCGCAGTTCAGATGATAAATTGATGCAATAAGGGGTCATCGCAAAAGTGATTAGTCATCCCTGAAAAAACATCATTCATTTCGTACTCGGACCCCCTCTCCACCCTCCGAAATGAATGGACGACGAAAATCGCATGCATGTACATGTGTATGCATAGCGTCAGTCGACTGAGATTTTAGCTCCCCCCCCCCTGGAACGATCTTCGTTTCAGGGACGACCAAAAACTTGTGTGACCACGGACTTTCTTTCTCTGTTATCAAGCAGTATGCATTATTTGTAACAGTAATTACTTGTCTGTGTCATGTGGATGCATTGTCTTATTTCCTTTTTCAGGCTACAGCACAACCGAGAGAACGAAATGTACGTCGCAATCAAGCTATGTCGTTGCCATCTTCTATGTGCCAGCCTGCTATGTCGGATACCGCTAGCCATGCATCGACTAGGCGCCAGGCGCGAACTGATGGTGGTGGTGGTGGGAAGGAGAGCTCTGTGCCAGAATAACTTTGGAGTTTGGAGAGCGTGTCTGGGCAGGCGTGTATTTACCCCCATATTGCCAGGTGTTTATTTACCACCATATGAACCAACCATAAGTGCAGTTGCAGTGGAGTCTTCAACTTCATTCTCCCGAGTCAAGCTCCTTGTGAAGGCATCTAAGAAGAAGATTGCCTGATGAGTCCAGCCGGGACGAAAGGTACGTCGCAATCAAGCTATGTTGTTGCTGTGTCATCTTCTATGCGCCATACGCTACCTGATGTACCAGCCTGCTATGTCGGACACCACTCACCCTGCATCGACTAGGCGCCAGGCGAGAACTGATGATGGTGGTGGTGGCAGGAAGGAGAGCTCTGTGCCAGAATAACTTTTCAGTTTAGAGAGCGTGTGTGGGCAGGTGTGTATTTACCGCCGTATGAATCAACCACAGTACGATCAGCTGACGTTATAACTTATAAGGATGATCTCGTGCAGCGATATTAATGTTATTTTTTCAGTCTTTTCTAAGGACTCTCCACTGCAGCGTTTTCTTTCCACTCGGTTCTCTTCTTTTCATCGCTCAGCTTGCACTTGCAATGCTTATACATACTGATCAATCCCGTTCAATTTTCCGTGCATTTTTCTCAAAATTCATAGCGCGGACGAAGTAGTGATTTTCCGTACAAATAAATACGGAAGGTTGATAGCACTGTGTTGAGGCAGCTATTGTTGACTTTATTTGGAATTAATTCTGTTGTATTTGCACATATTCCTGAGTGCATTGTATTACTATTAGCATCCAATGTGTGCTATCTGTGCGAGCTTCTAACCTTGTGAACATTCACCGAAGGTTCGGTTGGTGGCTCACAAGATCTTCCGGGATGGCTCTTGCGGGCTCTCAGTCCTGCGTTCACTGCATAAAACTTGGCAGAACAGTTCAAGTTTCAATTTAGGCCATTTCCTCACTCTGTGACTCCCAATATTTCACATGTACAATGATTATAAGTATTGTAGATCACTGGGACAGCGCCACTTTGTTAGCCGATGTTAGTCCTGAAGAAAAATTGACTTCATTGCCCTAAAGGTGAGAACAAATAGGGACTATTTGTGAAGGAAAACTTTGGAAAATGTAATTTCGAATAAAAGTCATTTCGTTTATCTGGATAGGTCCAATATTTCACAAATGTGCAATATAAGTATTGTAGATCACTGGGACAGGGCAACTTGGTCTGTCGAAGTTAGTCACAAGGAAAAAACTTACTTCATTGCCCTAAAGGTGAGAACAAATTGGGACTATTTGTGAAGGAAAACTTTGGAAAATGTAATTTCGAATAAAAGTCATTTCGTTTATCTGGATAGGTCCAATATTTCACAAATGTGCAATATAAGTATTGTAGATCACTGGGACAGGGCAACTTGGTCTGTCGAAGTTAGTCACAAGGAAAAAACTTACTTCATTGCCCTAAAGGTGAGAACAAATTGGGACTATTTGTGAAGGAAAACTTTGGAAAATGTAATTTCGAATATAAGTCATTTCGTTTATCTGGATAGGTCCAATATTTCACAAATGTGCAATATAAGTATTGTAGATCACTGGGACAGGGCAACTTGGTCTGTCGAAGTTAGTCACAAGGAAAAAAATTACTTCATTGCCCTAAAGGTGAGAAAATATTGAGGCAATTTGTAAAGAAAGGATTACCTCATCTTAGGTGGTCAAAGTGCCTCAGAGTTCGAGTGGCAGTGCAAATCCAGTGAACAAGACCCTTTATTAGTGAACTCCTCAGCGATGGCCACAGATGGCTGTATTTCGGCAATGGAGATCGAAAGTCTGACCACACTATGATTGTTCGGCGAAAGGACGAAGACGACGATTTCTCGCTATGTACGGATTTCCCGCGCGCTCTGACCTACATGTATGTACGGACTTGTCCCACACCGAGCAGGTCGTAATATTTTGAATCGTTGAGTCAATCATGGTTGTGCACAAGTGATGCGCGTGTCGCCTCCCGGGTCTATACGACTCCCTGCTCCACACAGAACGGCACACTGACGAGGAACAGTACACAATGGAAAAGAAGAATGACCTGGAATTCGTCTACAGAGTATTCTGTTATACTGAATCTGAGGATAAAGAACGTCGAATAACCACGAAGTATCCCGAATGGGTCAGCAATGTACATGGCACTTCGAAGAGTTGAAGATCATCAACGGACTGTCTCCTTCGTAAATAAGTTTATAATACCAGTGTACATGTACTTCAACCCGATTGGAAAAGGCTACAATAGATTGGATTGAAATGTGATACAAAACAGTGTATGCAAATGCATCTACTTTCAAGCAAAACTGATTATGAGATGCAGCATGTGAAAATCAGCACTGTACCATAATTATAGTAACACTTACTCCCAAAGAGTCCAAGCTGTAATCTAACTAGTGACGGTAGTTTTGATTCAACGACAAACTCCAGCACCGCAGCAATTCAGTCGACTTCCGCACCGCTCACGACTCAAGACAAGATCATGAAGATGCTACAATATGCACTGGAACTGAAAGGAAATCTTATGCCAAACATCCACGGAGGAATCTCCTTCTTTCAATTGACAACTGATAACCATCAGAAGATGTTCATGTACTGCATGATGTAGGAGATCTCCAAATAGGTTCGTTGTTCTGGAAATGCGTAGGGGTACCTGGCATAAGTAGGATATGACCCTCGTAGTCGGGTTATACCGTACCCTCATATAAATCCCTCCTGCTATCGCAGTCGGGATTTATATTCAGCCGGTATAACCCTCTGACTCGGGTTATATCCTCTACGTATAGGCCATTGACATTGTACTGCCCCTGCCACTGGCACTGAACAGCACTGAACACAGTCCGCGCCGCACTCTGCCTGCTAGCTGCTGCAGTCGGGTTGAGCACTGCGCCGAGCCTGAGTCTGACTCTGACTGAGTGAGTTACACTGTTTAGTCGACGGTTTCAAATAGGGCATACTGGTAGGTTGCAAACCGGACCGGACTCAATATTCACTTTCTCTCTTGGTATTTTGATTAGAAAACATATGTCACAGTGAGACTACAATGTGTTACACTTATACTCCGAGCCAAAATTTCATGGCTCTGCGATGACCAGAAGCGCCACACCAAGCAGGTGAGTTTTTGACGTGTTGCTTCACACTGCGACTTGAGTTTTCCGACTTTCGAAAAATCAACTTCTTGTCGCAGGTAAACAGCGGCTCGCCTCTCGCCAATAAAGCACCGCATACCAATCAAAACTAATGGAGAAGCACACACAAGGCTTATTGTTACTCTGTACTGGCCGTCGTGGAGCGATAGCATTTACCTAATTTCAGACTAATAGAGTGAATTTGACGTGCACTCTAAAACCTTTCCGATTTGGAGCCACCTCTGATTTGAAGCGAAAAATTGGGCAACTTGGAGGCGGTCAACACAAAGGAGTGGCTCAGTTCGATTGACTCTGGCCTCAGAGCAAACTTCAACATGCCAGTTTCCTTCCACAAACATATTTCGAGTGAACAATCAACGCTGATGATAGGTTTGCATAGTTTGGGCCTATAATTAGTATAAATTATTTGGCTGACCTGTCAAGCCGTTGTCGCCTCTACATGGTGTATGCGGGCCTAGCCTGTCAGCATGTGAAGTATGGAATCAAGATTCAAAGCACGGCAAGTCGCGCTAGGATTCGCTGTTGCCATGTCGATTGTCATGTGACATGTCAGAAATGAGTTTCAAGCGTGGGTGCATGTCAGAAATGCAATCAAAACACTCGCACTCGTGCTCGATCAGCCTGCATCACAGCCCTTCGCGCTTCGCGCGGCGGGCTGTGATTAGGCGATCTCACACTCGTACTCTTGCTTGATTCCATACTTCTGACATGTCACATGACAATCGACATGGCAACAGCGAATCCTAGCGCGACTTGCCGTGCTTTGAATCAGCCACTGAAGACCTGTGAGCGCTTGCAGGTCTCCGATTTTCCAATCGGAGCACGCCCAGGCGTGCTCCGATTCAGCCATCAGAGGCCGCTTTTTTTTTTACACAAATCATTGTGTCCGCGCAACAGCAGTGCAGAAGCTTGTGGATGCGGGCGTGTCGGAGACAGCGATCATGGGGACGACGCGTCGACGGGACATCGCCAGGTCCAGTCGTTGACCGCATATGCCAACAGGAATTCAGAACAAAAGAGAAAAGAGATGGCTGCAGTTCTGGATGGAGAGTCTCCAACTGCAACCAATGCTGCTACCCGTGCTCTTACAGCGCCAACAACGAGCGTTCAGCGATCACAGCAGCAGACTGAGTTCCACGATCCCGACATTGATGAGTACATCGCAACTTGTGACCCAACAGTGCAATCCCCAACTCACCAACGGTCTCTGATGCAGAAAGCTACGAAGACCATCAACTTTTCCGGAGCTCAGTTTGGTGCAAACTGCAATGTTCACCTGCACCTGTAGGCTGTAGGCTGTAGTCACTGCGAAGAAGAGAAGCTGAACTGACCTGGTTTTTAGCTGACTAGACCGCCCTTGTTTTATCTCTGTGTTGTGACTGTGTACATTAGTCATTATGTAACATGTCTGAAGTACTAAACTGGCGACTAGTTGTGTTCCTTGTCTGGTCTAGTGTGCGTGCCTTGAGTAGGTACTAGGTATGTGTGAAGTACTACATGTAGTAGTACTAGTAGTACGAAGTAGTTCGTGCAATGCATGTCAGAAATGGTATCAAAGCATTCGTACTCGGACTCAAGTGCTAGAATCGGAGCCCTCCGCGCTAGCGCGCGTCGGGCTCCGATCCCGCACTTTCGTCCTCGTACTCATGCTCGATTCCATACATCGAACTTGTAAATACTTCGCGAAGAGCTGTGATTGGCTGATAGAACATGAACACGACTGTTTTGATTGGATTTCTGACAAGAACGCGCACTTCGATCTTCCTATCGTGCTTGAAAGCACGACTCTCAGCCTTCTCGAGCCCGAGTCGAGTAAAAAAAAGCGAGCTTGATCAGTGAATCAAAGCCCTAGTGGAGCGGGCTTTGATCGTAAAATCAAAGCCCGCCTGGGCGGGCTTTGATGGGAAAATCAAAGCCCGCTCCACTAAATATGGAGTTCTACTTCTGACATGTCACAAGACTGTAGGCACGGAGATGACCGATCGCATTGCACCTAGCAGGGCCTAGATGAGGCGATCAAAGCATGCTACAAGAAGTAGAACTCCATATTTAGTGGAGCGGGCTTTGATTTTCCCATCAAAGCCAGGCGGGCTTTGATTTTACGATCAAAGCCCGCTCCACTAGGCCTAG